TGCCGCTGCCCTGAGCCAGGCGCTGCGCCGCGTTGTCTCCAGTGTGGTGGTGGAGATTAACCCTGAGACGCCACGCAGGAACAGCTTCGAGGTGTCCCTGGTGAAGGAGGACGGAAGCAGTAAGTGCGGAGGCTTCCATACAGCAGTGCTGAGTCAGGGGTGCATTGATGGGGGGGAGGAGATACAGACAGGACTGAGCAGGCCGCTGCCCTGAGCCAGGCGCTGCGCCGCGTTGTCTCCAGTGTGGTGGTGGAGATTAACCCTGAGACGCCACGCAGGAACAGCTTCGAGGTGTCCCTGGTGAAGGAGGACGGAAGCAGTAAGTGCGGAGGCTTCCATACAGCAGTGCTGAGTCAGGGGTGCATTGATGGGGGGGAGGAGATACAGACAGGACTGAGCAGGTGCTCAGGTGACAGCATGCTGGGGTACAGATGCCCATGCGGTGCTTTGCAGCACAGGCGGGGCTGGTGGGCTCCTTGTGTGGCGTGAGCAGGATCCTAAATGGCTTGTACCTCATGTCCCTTGCCTGATTGGTCAGACGGGGCTCTGTGGGGCTGAGATGGTGCCTCATTAGGGCCCTGATGTCAGTGGGGATCTCTGCAGTACCTGGCACAGTGTGAGGGGGTCCCTGATCTCTGTCAGTGGGAGTGTCTAGGGTCTACTACAGTCAAACCCAATCGCCGGGTAACCCCCTCTGCTTTGTTGGGATTTCAGCGGTGGAGCTATGGAGCGGCATCAAGAAAGGGCCACCTCGCAAGCTTAAGTTCCCAGAGCCGGAGAAAGTGGCGGACATGCTGAAGAGCAGCTTAGTCTAAAGCAGAGCTACACAGAGGTGAGTCACTTCTGCTCCCAGGGCAGACCCGCAGAGGGGGCGGCTTCTGTAAATCAGAGGGAGATATTATCATAATAGCTGGCCGGGCTGGAATCCATGTGTCTGAATACAGCACCAGCCCTCCCTCTGTGTGGGCTTTTGTTAACTGCTGGCCCCTCATGTCAAGCTGGGCTTTTTCCTCCCCTCCCCATCCTGGCCAGTCAAAACCATCTCACAGAGCATCCTACACCCTGAAAGATCCCAGTGCCACCTCCTTGTCCACGGCATACGAGCCCTAGCTTCACAGCCAAGGAGGAGGAGGAGTCGAGTCTCACTTGCACCCTCCAAATGGTGGTGCCTCTGCAAGACTGAAGGGAGCTGAAACTGATCACTGAAGTCAGATCTGACTCCATACACCAGAGTCACGTCTGTGCCTAATTGAATACCTGCTGAGGAGCATGTTGCCTTCACTGGACGTGCTGCACTTGTGGCAGGCTCGTGCTAGGGCAGTGAGAAGACGTCCGCCTGGAGAGTAAACCTAGCCCAGGCGGCGCTGGCTGTTGCTGTGAGGGTGAGGTGGCCTTTCCTGGCGTCGGCAGCACAGCTGGAACCATCAAAAACTCAGTGGGGAGGAGCAAAGAGGTGGGAGGTGCTTCAGCAGAAACCCCCATCCACACACTGCGTTCTCTCCCCGAGTTGTGGGTTCCGGGATGACCCCTTCCATGGGGGGAAGGGGCATTAAGGTCATACAAGTGTGTCATACGAGTGAATGCAGGGGTTGGGCTAGGGCCCAGGCCTTTGGACCATCCTTCCTCTCAGGCGGCAGGCTTAAGGGCAACCTCATTCAAGCTGCCTCTAGCCGCAAGCAGGTCAGTGTGTGGGGTCCAAATGAAGGGGGGAATAGGGTGGTTAGAGGTCACTTCCAGTGTGAACTGCCAGGGCTGACCCCCCCTCTCTCATCCATGCAGCTGGGTCCAGACCCGTCCATTCCTTGTGTGGGCCGGAGCATCCATGAGGAGGGCGATTCGGGGCCCTCTTGGCACTGCGGGGAGGAAGCTCACAACACCGAGGTCACTGCTGTGGCGAATCTCACGGCCCCGCGGAGCCCTACTACCCTGCCCACGCGGGTTGCTGGAGTCCGCGGCTCTGGGCGGGGGGGCGGAGCTGGGTCCAGGTCTTCCGCGGCCTCTAAGCCTCAGTCGCCCAGGTTGAGCGCTGATTGGCTGCCAGGACGCCTCCTTTATATACAGAACGTTGTGTAACAAATTCGGGCCGGAACCATCCTGGAGAAAGGGGAGGGGGGATTGTGCAGTCAAGCCAGCTCCGCGTGTCTTCGTTAGCGCTGGAGTCTGGTCGCGCCCAACTGCACGGGTGCAAAGGCGGAGCTGGCTCAGCTGGCGCCTCCCCCCTTTTTTTTGCCTCTGATTCCTTCCTTTCTCCCCCCCCCTCCCCCGGTCGGTGTGGAGTGGTCGGGAGCAGGGCGGCTTCCTCTCCCCGCACCTGGCTGCGGTGCCCTTGCAGAGGAGGAGGTAGGTTGTGTGGCTCTCTCCGGGGTGGGCCCTTGTCTGTGCTCCGCTGCTGCGGGAGGGGCTGCTCCCCCCAGACCTCCAACGGTGGGAGGCTCGGGAACGCGTCTGGTACCATTTGCAGGAATGGGGCCCCGCAGTCCTGCGGCAGCGAACACGCCCTGCCTTCCCCCTTGCTGTCCGACTTCCCCACATCCCCGTTTTTAATTGTCCCATCATACGCCCCACTCTGCCCCGCGCTTCTCCGGGTTATTCCTGTGGCCGGGTGGAAGTGACCCGTGGTCCCGCCTCTCCCCATCCCATCCAGAGAACCTGCCCGGATTAATTCCTCTTTGAATCAGAGCGGATCTGTTCGAAAAACATCCCATCATGATGGAAAAATACCTAGAGATGCATTGGGGGGAGGGGGCTTGTTTTCCCTCCCCTTCAATGCTGCCTGCGGAGGGGGCCCCCTGCTGCAGATGGAGTCTCCTCATCTCAAAAAAAGATATCTTGGCATTGGAAAAGGAGCAGAAAATGGCAACAGACGTGATGAGGGGTTTGGAATGGCTGCCCTGTGAGGAGAGAGAAATAAGACTGGGCCTTTTCAGCTTGGAAAAGGGACGACTCGGGGGCTCATGAGAGAGGGGTATAAAATCATGACTTATTTACTTCCCATAACACAAGCGCTAAAGGTCACAAAATGAAACTAATAGGTAGCAGGTAGGGATGTTAAATACATTGTAATTGAATAGTTGTGTAACTGCACAAAATATTATCGGGATTGTGGGATGTGGAGCAGCCTCTGTCTGTGGGGAGCTCAGACTCTACTTGCCTGTTCCCCCCCACCTGACCTCCAACCTCTGTAGGAGGCAGCGGGTCCACAGATCTGACATGCTGGGAGCTGGCTTGAAAGTCAGCTCCCCATGCGTATTGGCTCCAACCTAACCCCCTGACCCTCCACCCTGCTGCCTCTATCAGGCAGTGGTGGAGATCTGGTGCTCATGGGGAGCTGGCCTTTAAGCCAGTTCCTCACAAGTTCTCGTTCCCCCCCGCCCTTTGCTTCCTCTCATACAGAGGCAGCAAGGGGAGGATGCAGGTAGTCAACAAGATTAACTAAGAAGCTCAGGCTTATCGGTTAATCATATAGTTGACTACATGTTAACATTCCTAGCAGCAGGTTTAAAACAAAGAAAATGAAGTATTTTGTCACACAATGTACAGACAACCTGTGGAACTCCCTGCCAGATTTTGTGAAGTCCCAACACTATTTGCAGGGTTCAGAAAAGAACTAGATATATTGATGGAGAATTAGTTCATCAATGGCTATTAGCCAAAATGGGTAAGAATGGCTTCTGTTTGTCAGAGGTCGGCAGTGGGTGACAGGGGATGGATCACTTGATGGTTACTTATTCTGTTCCTTCCCTCTGGGGCACCTGGCATTGGCCACTGTCAGCAGACAGGACACTGGGCTAGATAGACCTTTAGCCTGACCCGGACGGGCCATTTTTATGTTCCCAAAGCACAATGGCCCCCAAAGGGAGGAAGAGGAAGGCGAAGGAGCCCAAGGTGAAGTCTGCAAACTTGGAGGATGAGAAGGCAACTGGTAGCCCTGATACACTGCCAAAGCGGTCCCGGGGTGAGGGAAGTCGGGGCCCTGGACCTCGTGTGGTCATTGAGCATTGGTGAGTCCTGGCCAGGGCAAGAGGGTGGGTGGTTTTTAAGGCTCATGTGCTTGTGGAAAGCACCAGGGATGCTCTGGATACAGGAGGAAAATGTCTGCAGAGAGATGGGAGGGTTATGGGAGTAGGGGGAATTAGTTTGAGCCCTTGCAGAGGGGGAGCAGGTAGGGAGAGGAAGGTG